GTACGGGCCCGTGAAAGTTTTCTGCGGGTAAATCGCTAACTCAGGAACCAGTAGAGCTAGAAAGCTGAAATTTCCAGGAGATATTCCCCGTCCACGTAAATCCTAATGAGCTTCAAACCAGTCCCCGAGCACACGTGGTACCACATACGGGCCGGCCAAAGTTTTTTCGGGTAAGTTGTTAACTCGAGAACCTGGAAAGCTAGAAGACTGGAACTTTAAAAAGGTGATCCTTGTCCATGTAGGTATTAATGAGTTCAAATTCAGCTCTCAGTTATGCGTGGTTCCTATTTACTGGCCCGTGGAAGTTTTTTGCGGTGAGTTACTAACTGGGGAACCAGGAAAGCTAGAAAGCTGAAATTTTAAAAGAACGCTTCCTGACTGTCCTGGCGGCCAGTTTCAATTCTTTTAGCTAGAAGCATTTGCCAGGATAACCGGTGCCGGAAGCGACAAAAACTGCGAGGAACTATGCAAAAAATACATCTTCGTACCGGCAATCGTTGCATTGGCCAATTATTTTAAAAATTAGCATGCGTTAAAAAGTCAAAAACTTGAATTCCACGAATGACTAACAATGCAGTTTTTCATCCAAATTGCCTCTAGACGTGATCGATAATGCCCTGATGAATTCATGAAATTCGATTGCCCCATCCTGAAAACGAAAACAGTTTTAATACTACTCCTTTGTAGTAAGACAAGTAAAAAGATGAATGACTGTTCTCCTTCCAGAAAAAATAATTGTTGTGGTTTTCCCCTTTTTGTCAGAAAGCAAAACTGTTGTCTTGGATCAGTCACAGTTTTCGTGGGTACCACCAGCAGTCACGGTACTTCCCATAATTCAGCACTATAGACAAAAAGTTTGAAATTATACGAAATCCTGTTTGTTCAAAATGGCTTTTACCTTATTTTCGTCGAAAACCTTGAAAACGAATGAAGCAAAATCGGTGGGATCGCCTTGTGGGAAAAACTGTTTATATATTTTTTGAAATCCCTGCAATTTCAAAATCGGTAAAACATTTAAATAACTAACTGTTTTGAGGGTATTCTAACCTGCCAAATCCTGCGCATTCACTTTTTTGAGAGGCGGAAGTACTCAGGAAGTAATCTCAGTGTTAGCAAATGTCAATAGCAACCACGTGCTGACAAGATTGTCGATGGCTTCCTATTTTGAGAATTGCTCAGAAGTAAGCTGATGGGACGGGTGCCATCTTATGCTTTGCACAAAACAGAGCTTTTTAGAGGTCTTATCCAGAAAAGGAACAACACAAGGTTATATGGAGGTAAGCATAATGAATATTTCATTTGTACATAGTTCTTATTCTAGATTCTTATTCTACTTTCACTCTGAAAAAAGAAAATAGGAGTTTGTTTTGATACTAGAACAGTGCCGGAACAAGTCGACGTCACCGAGGCTGAGCAAACAATATTATCAGCTTCAGTACTGTGTATCCTCAAATAAACAAGGTGAAAGATGGAGGTTAGTCCAAGAGAAAACCCAGGCTGCAACGCATCAGGCTTACCGGTGCAGTCATGCGTTTGCGCACTAAACTTAAAGCAGTCAGTTCGATGGTTATATGAATGGTTGTTGCTTTACATTAAACTTGCACATTCATTACATGAATCACCGTAAATCACGCATAAAGGGAAATGAATGATTTTCGTTGAGCTGTCGTTCATTGAAAATGACCTAGCTGTTCTGGTACTCAGGCTAGCAATTTTCCTGTCAAAAATTTTACGTACCCATATGTGAGAAACACATTTGCCTGGGAGCTGAATTTGAAATTTTTAAGTTGCACGTAAACAGCGAACATCAACTAAAAACTTCAGCCTTCCAGCTTTTCTCGGAAAGCTGTTCTCGTCTCTGTTAGAAATTTTTCAGCCAAACCCTCGCGCTTCTGCATGCGAATTCAGACGTCCGAGGGAACTGGTGCCACGTTTTTGGGGCGGCTCTAGGCCAGAAACCTATTGGC